TTAGTCTATTAACAGAGACAGTTGACTCTCTCCCTGTTTCGTGGCATAAGACACTAGGACATTTAAGCATAAAGGATGTGAAAAGGTTGCTAGACTTATGCGATGGTGTAAAAATGTGTAAAAGTGAGTGTGATAAACTTGATAAGACATGTAAAGTTTGTTTTGAGGCAAAACAAACCAGACAACTATTTAAAACTGTTCGACCACGTGCAACTCGTCCCCTTGAACTTATGCAACTGGATTTATGTGGTCATGTAGATCCAGTTACATGGGATAATGAAAGATATACATTCCAGAATTTTTAAAATCATATGTGAAAGAAGTGGAGGCTACTCACAATCTTAAAGTGTCCAAAATACGCTATGATAATGGAGGTGAGTACATGAATGATGAATTTAAATCTTGGTGTAAAAACAAGGGGATAGCTCTTGACTGCGCAATACTCTATATACCGCAACTTAATGGTAAAGCAGAGAGACTCAATAGAACAATAATGGAAAAGGCAAAAGCAGTGCTATTTGAGTCATCAATGAATAAAACATTTTGGGGAGAAGCTGTAAGATTTTTTGCTTATATATGAAAGAGAAGTCAAAGTGAAGCTTTGGAAGTAACACCAGCTGAAAGCTGGATGGGTGAACGACCTAACCGGTCCAATTTACATATTTTTGGGAGTGAAGCTCTTGCAAAAGAGCTTGGAAAACTAAAAACATTGGATGATAGAAGTAAACAATACATTTTCGTTGGTTATACATTGAATGGATATCGACTTTGGGATGATGAACAAACAAAAATTTAAAAAAGAAGAGATTTTTTTTTATACTCCAACTACCACGAAGTCCTAAGGCCCTAAACACCCATTGGGTACCGTGGGGCTATAGGTGGATACAGGGGAAACGGGGAACGCCACATGGACTCTGGCGAGGGAACACGTGTGCATGCAACATGCACACATTCTGGCTCCGCCTACGAGATCAGCCTGGTGGTACCTCCGCGTTCGACAGTCGGAGACCATCTACCACCTACTGAAAATCACAACATCCATAGCCAAGAGTAAAATTTCTCCTGGGATGGGATTCGAACCCGCACAGCGCACGACGACTGATCAGGAGACCGAAGAGTCTACTACTGCGGCCACCGCTGTTGAGAGATGTTGAGTTTAATGAAAGAAAAATAACAGAAAAAGGTGATTCTCATGTGAAACTAGAAGAATTTAGTGGAGATGAAGAAAATGAAACCCCAGAAAGCTCATTAGATGAATATGCAGAAGAGCAAGTAGAAACTAGTAATCAGATGAGCGAATTGAAAATGTTGGGGGCTCAGGAGAAGGCATAGAAGAACAAAGACCTAGAAGAGGAATAATGTTATCAAGAAGATTTGAAGAATATTGATGCTAATATATACAGAAGCTATGAGTAGTGAAGACAAAGAAAAATGGGAGAAAGCAATCATAGATGAAAAAGAATCATTACAGAAAAATGATAACTGGGAATATGTTTATAAATATGATATGGAAAATGAGAAAATCTTATCCGGCAAATGGGTTTTCACAATAAAGGATGATGGAAAATACACAGCAAGACTAGTGATACGAGGTTGTGAACAAACTTATGGAATAGACTATAAAGAAACGTTCAGTCCAGCAGTGAATATTGGTTCTCTAAGAATGTTTGGTATAGCTGAGAAATATGATGTAAGAACATCATTCCTGTATGGAGACTTAGATGAGAAGATGTACATGGAAGTTCCAGAAGGATATACTATAGAGAACAAAGTATATCTTTTAAGAAAAGCTTTGTATGGCTTCAATCAGGCTTCATTACAATGGAATATAAAATTCAGAAATTTTATAAAATCAAATGGTTTGACAGTAGCTAAAACAGCAAATTGTGTTTTCAAAAATCAAACTGGATCACTAATACTGGCTATTTACGTTGATGATTGGATCAGATGAAGAAGAAATTGAAGATTTACTAAAAACCTTGAAAACAGTTTGAAATAGTTGTCGATGAACATACCAACTACTTTTTTAGGAATGGAATTTAGAAATGCTAAAAGTTTCCGATGGAATTGTTCTCAAACAATTTAAATATATCAGACATATTTTAGAAAACTTCCATATGGAGAATTCAAGAACAGTAAGAACACCTATGGAAACTAATAAAGGAGGAGATCAACCTGTAAATAGAAAATTTCCTTAACATGAGCTGCTGAATATGAAGAAAGTGCTACGCTACTTGAGATTGACTGAAAACTATGGAATAACATTTTATGAAGACTCTGATGGAAGTGAAGTAATATCATACAGTGACTCTGATTTTGCTAGTGATTTGGAAAAAAGGAAGAGTACTACTGGATATGTTGTATTGTGGAGGACCTATTGTATGGTGCTCAAGGAAGCAACCAATAGTGTCGTTGTCAAGTACTGAATCCTAATATATAGCAGCTTCAGAATGTATTAAAGAATTATTGTATGTGAAGTGTTTAATGGAAGAACTGATTTGTAAAAATGGTAATGTGTTATTGAATGTGGACAATCAGAGTGCAGTCAGATCAGTTAAAAATAATCAGTTTGATAGAAGATCAAAACATATATATGTGAGATTTCACTTTATAAATGAAAAGGTGAAAGAGAGATACTGAAGCAAACACGCGGTAGCAATTGTCTGACAAATTCTCAGAAAGCAATACTGCTATGTTACGTTTGCAGCTCGGATAATGACATAATGTTAGTTAGCCACGAAAATCAAATGGTTTGACAGTAGCTAAAACAGCAAATTGTGTTTTCAAAAATCAAACTGGATCACTAATACTGGCTATTTACGTTGATGATTGGATCAGATGAAGAAGAAATTGAAGATTTACTAAAAACCTTGAAAACAGTTTGAAATAGTTGTCGATGAACATACCAACTACTTTTTTAGGAATGGAATTTAGAAATGCTAAAAGTTTCCGATGGAATTGTTCTCAAACAATTTAAATATATCAGACATATTTTAGAAAACTTCCATATGGAGAATTCAAGAACAGTAAGAACACCTATGGAAACTAATAAAGGAGGAGATCAACCTGTAAATAGAAAATTTCCTTAACATGAGCTGCTGAATATGAAGAAAGTGCTACGCTACTTGAGATTGACTGAAAACTATGGAATAACATTTTATGAAGACTCTGATGGAAGTGAAGTAATATCATACAGTGACTCTGATTTTGCTAGTGATTTGGAAAAAAGGAAGAGTACTACTGGATATGTTGTATTGTGGAGGACCTATTGTATGGTGCTCAAGGAAGCAACCAATAGTGTCGTTGTCAAGTACTGAATCCTAATATATAGCAGCTTCAGAATGTATTAAAGAATTATTGTATGTGAAGTGTTTAATGGAAGAACTGATTTGTAAAAATGGTAATGTGTTATTGAATGTGGACAATCAGAGTGCAGTCAGATCAGTTAAAAATAATCAGTTTGATAGAAGATCAAAACATATATATGTGAGATTTCACTTTATAAATGAAAAGGTGAAAGAGAGATACTGAAGCAAACACGCGGTAGCAATTGTCTGACAAATTCTCAGAAAGCAATACTGCTATGTTACGTTTGCAGCTCGGATAATGACATAATGTTAGTTAGCCACGAAGCTACTCTCTCTCTAAGCTTCAAAATAAACTCACGTCTGGTAAAAATGAAATGACCTGTTTTATCAGTAGGATTTTGCTTATGTTTTGGTCAAGTCGATGCTGATAATTTACAACACTATATTGAGAAGTGAAATTTTTCCTGATGTTTGGAAGGTATCAAATGTTTGCCGGTTCTGAAAGATGGTATTAAGGCTTTTGAAATAGCCTTCTACTTTTGTGCTAGCCTTCATAAAAGATAGATCCACTACGTGTATGTTAGTTCATGTTATTTACATGGACTTCAGAAAGGCTTTCAATAAGTTAAACCATCATCTATCCGTATTATAATGGTTACTGTTCAGCAAACTAACTGTTCCTTCTGGCCTGCCGCAAAGTTCGAAACTAGGCCTATTGCTCTTCATAAATGAAGGTGACACAGTCTACAATTTGCCGATGATCTGGAAATATGCGCCAAAATTATAAATTTGAACTGTAGTTCCCTCTTCGCAGATCTAGATACTATCACCCAGCGGTGTGACAATAACTTTCTCTTCTCAACTATTTCCAGCTGTAAGGTTTGACCCTATAGTAGCAAAATGAACTCGGTTATCTTTGATTACTCCATAAATAATGCGGTTTGGACTTTTCTGTCTTTTTGTAGTACGCATTTCTTAAATATTGTACTTATAAAATTGACGGCGCATATCCAGAAAGGGGGGTGAGTGAATGTATCCTACTGCGACGTTTCAAACCAGAGTCTCTATAAATAAGATGCTCCGTTGCTGGCCTGAGATTCATCCATAAGCTTTTGCACGATCGAACGGTGCACCAGAACTTCTGCAGAGGTTGAATTTTTGTATACCGCATTTTGTTCGAGATGGACACTAACTTTCTACCGCAGTACCTTCAGTACCAACTTATTATTTTATCCTCCGACACATTCTATATGCAATAACTTTAATTCCATACCAGACAGTTCTAATATTAATTTTGGTTGTATCAGCAAGATCATGTCAAATTTCAGGGACTATTACATTAGCTATCTTTTTAACATACGTTTAGGTCATGTGGTCGTTGTGTGCACAATATTAATTTAGTTACCATCATATTTTTATTGATTCACCTGTTTCGGTTGGACAAGTACAATACTCATTAGCTTCTACAGGCGCTCAAACGTTTGTAACAGTAAGTAATTTTTTTCGCTTATATTCGTAATCTAATGTTTGCTTTATTTACGGTCACAACATAAACACAACCTTCAATTTCTATTCGTATATGTCACACCTCGAAAAAACCTTCTCATGCCATGTGGCAACGCTGACTGCAGTATTCAGCGACCGAAAATGTCTTCCAGTAGTCTACCACAGCCAAATATGTGCTAAAAATACCTTCTGCGACAGTCTTTTGTCCTCTGCTGCAGTCCGTGCATCCATGCACTTACTCATTGTAACCTTTTTCGCCGCGGCCGTGTTGATTTTTTTGCTTCTCTCGCATCTGTTTGCACTGAAATGGCTCGCCGCCTCTGCAGCTATAATTGAAAGAAATAAAAAGATGCTAATCTGAATTGCCAAGAGACGAAGTGAGCTTTTTGTACTACCCCAACGAGGCAGTCAGTTTAACTAGAAGTGAATATTCCTACTTAACATGAAGAAATCTCTGGAATTTTAAAGTATCAAGACTAACATCAATACATTGAAAGACGACAGAGCTTTGCGGATTAGTTAATGTGATACAGATATATACACTTTTTCTGGTGCTTCAGCCACCACTGCCTTTTCCAAAATACAGTGATAATGACAAGATATACGAGTTTTATTTGTCTTCCAGATGCCAGATCATTTGTTTTTTGCTTCCCACGCCTACTGACGGGGAAGTATTGTAATCGCGACCTTTTTCGGAAATGAGATATTTTGTGGATGATATGTACATCACTAAAAACCATTCCACTCATTTCTGTCGGTCTGTGTCAATTAAATTTTTACATACTGTTACCACTATGCCAAGGACGCCAAAGCTTTTTGCAGTGTTTGAAATTCGATCCAGTGGTGGCGGAACTAGAGGCAAAAACATGGAAATAATAAAAACCGCCCAAAATAAGTTTTTTGATGTTCCTGATCATTTTCTGAAAAATGCTTGTAGGGGTCGAAAATCAGGGGTTGGAGGCTGTAGGGGTTGGGGGAGGGTATATATAATTTTTTGACAGCAGTATACATATATGGATACATATTTCATGCATCATAGATTTACCCTCAAAACTTGCTGTCCTCGACTGATTGACTGCCTGCATCGCGGGTTCTCCCGAGTTACTATACTAGTGTGGTGAGCAGCGCAGGAACTAGCGTTAGCGTTATCAAATGGGTGGAGACTATGGAGTATGGACAAATTATAATTGGCCTCTTTGGTTGACTGAATCCTATTCCGCGAAGCCATCAATTTGACTTTAGAATAGCCCAGGCTCGCTTATGGTAAGGATTCCCGTTTCCAAAGGAAACCATTCCCCCAAGGCGACAAGTGAGCATGAGGACATCTGTTAATTTGGATACCAGACGCGTCACCCTCGGTCAGCGCCCCGAAAACGCCAAACGTCCTTCGAGAATCCCAATACGTCAAAGTTGGAGTTGTTTCGCACTGGAGTCACGAATCTTTGGTAGCTACTATATTTAACGAGCTTAAAACATGTTTTCTATTTGATTAGGCCATCGGAATAAATAAATAGAACTCTACCTACATTTAACGTCTTTGGACCACACACATGCTAACTAGAAAGAAGCGATACCGTCACCATCACAGAGAAAAACATCGTTTTTCGGTTCCATGAAAAGCCGTCAGGGCTAATAAGATGTGACTGTTAAGTCTTCCATGAATATTTTCAATTAAATTATCCTTGCACTTCGCTCTTGGCTGTTACCGTAGCGAAACTACCACCCTACTTAACGTTCGTTTTGCGATAAGCGGTGATGGCGCTCATCTTCATTGGAATGTTACTTATGGTGATAGAATAGATTATCGTTCAATAGGTAGTAGTGATGTAACGAGTATTATCATTCGGATTCACGGACTTATTCTAATTGTTTGTAAGGAAAAAATATATGTACAATTGGCGGCGCTTCTTCAGGAGGTTTGTATAAAAAATTTCGTATTTCTTTTGAGATGAACCGACTAAGCCTCTAGCAAGGTAAAAAGTCCAACATGAGGTCAGTTGATTAATCCAAAGTCCCTGGACAACTCGTCAAAAATGTCATTATTCTGAAAAAAATTAGTAGCACTTAGAAAATTGCAGAAACGCTGGAGTATTCGTGACTCAATTTATTATGGATGTTAAGCAGCAATAATGTTTTAACTTTTCACTTTTATTTTAGATTTACCGATATGCATTTTCCACTAAAAGGTCAATGTAAATTGACTCTTACGGCAAAATAACCCTATGTGGTTTTTGTGAAGGTATTTTTATCCCCAACAACTTTTTTGATTACTTAGAGACTTAAACCAATAGCTTATCACTATTTGGATATAGGTGGTTACTCCAACTATGACGTTTAATAAAAAAAGTTATCCAGCAGAATTTTTTGTGTCTCTCGGCAAGGGGCCTCAAGAACGTGATTTCGTTGTTAAACAGCTTCTAGTAATTTTTTCTCTCAAATTTTAGATATCCTGGTCTGATATCTTGATACTCTCTGGCAGATAGACACTTATCGCACTAACGTCAAGCTGAGGATGCTGAAATACGAAATAATTTTTTGGCAAAACATATGACTATAATCTCAAAATCACAATAGATTTTTAAGATTCTCAGAACGGAGAGAATTAAACCAAATTGAACATAATTATGTAAGGTAAGTATGTCTTTGCTGTCTACTATTAAGTCAAGATTGCGAGATTTTTACTACCGCTTCCTTTTGATACCATGACGGACGCACATCTTAATTTTGGAGCTCAATGGTCAAAATTCTCTCCGATATCCTCTAGTACCAAAATGAAAGAGAGTAGTATAACGTATCGTATGTCACAGCGAGCACGTAGATCTCGTTATATTCAAAGCAGTGGTGTACAATGTGTTTCCGTACCAGACTACAGTTAGCAAGACCGGGACCAATACCTTATTCAGGTGACACACAGCGTCAAAAACAGAAAAGATGACTGAGTCTCCAAATTCTCACGTTACTATTGGCCATTGGACCAAGTCCGTAACAATAAGACAACGAACATGTAGTTGATCTTAATCACCGTTCAACTCTTAAGGATGATCAAATTTAAAGAATTGCGCATTTACTAGTAAGTGGATACTGAGCAACAACCTTTTACGTTACCTTAGTAACCTTTTGTAATAAGTATTTTCCGCTCCCTTGTCCCATCATTTTCTCGGACTTTTGCTTGAGCATCTACACATGATAAACCATAGAAATGTCCGTCCGTGATATACGAGTATTCTTCCAAGAATGTCCTTCCATGTGCTATGTAGGCGCCTCTGGAATGGTGTAAAAGCGATAAAACCACTATTCCGAAGGCGACAATGAACTAATGCACTCGTAACGAAATAATTTCTGGCGCATTTACATCTTGTAATGGGCATGTATGAGATTAAGGCATGCCATTAGTTTATGGCCACACCCCGTACATAAATAATTGCTGTCGTTTGTTTTCTACTACTCCACCAACTAAATCTCTTTGAAACTGTCTCTGATGTCCATGTGGGTCTGCAAATCATCGGGCAATTCACAATTGGCGCTAGGCAGTATCAGGTGATAGAATACAAAATGCATTGCTATCAGAGTGTTATAAATCGCATAAGTTGGAGGTAACGCGTACTCTTATAAGGTTACAGGTGTATGGAACTTGTGTGCCCAGGTTTTAAGCTCTTCGCATTTTACCCGATATCGTGTTATGCCGCATGTAGGTAATTAAGCAGACTTTATGCCAGTAGCTCGGTCAGTACGCATATTCATCACACATGGCACAGGCACACGTGCAGTGAGATTTCGTCAACGTTGGATTTTCCAAGAGTCTAAGGTATGAAAAACTGATTTAACAAGTAGCATTTCTAATATGTTAATTGGGGTTGAAACAATGTCAGGAAAAAGTCCTAAGCGTTCTAAGTAGCCGGAGTGCTAATGGAATGTCCGTAATTATTTTTTACAAAATATGCCAAAAGACAATTGGTTGCACTTCGAAATATAGGCGTAGATTGTTCATAAATCAGAAAAGGAATACGGGTGCGGTACTTTACAGTTATACATGTACGGTTTTGATTGTAGCTTTATATGTAGATAACATATTTGTTTTTGGTAATGATGAAGACGCTACATCAAACTTAGTTGACCATTCAAAAAATAAGTTCAAATATAAAGATTTAGGCTCCTTCCAGCATGCTTTAAGTCTAAGGGTGAGAAAAAAAAATGTTTTGTATGTTGATCAGGAACGATATAATAATGCTTTGTTGGATGAATATAGTACAGAGGACTGCAAAACAATCTCAGCTACAAAGTCTGTTGGTGCTAAACTTTGTAAAAGATTAGGACCTGCTGAACAAATGATTTCATATCAGAATTTTATAGCAAGCTTAATATATATTGCCCTTCTTACATACAGTTCAGAGCATTTTTCGCATTCAAAAAGGATTTTAAGCTATTAGAAAGGAGCTATTGACTTGAGAATGGTATATAAAAGATCTGACACCTTCATTTTAACACGATATGTAGATGCTGACTGGGTAGGCTCAGGTCACAGGAAATCTTATTCTGGATATGTTTTGTAGTTAGACATGAATACTGTTTGTTGGGGAAGTAGGAAGCAACAGTGTGTTTAACTTTTTTCTACTGAGCCCGACTATGTCTCTCTTACCCAAGAGGCAAAAATGCATTGTTTCTAAATAATGTTAACGATTTTACTGTGAGGTTGTTGAAGTTCCAATTGTGATGTATAATGACAATCAGTCGGTATATAGTTCGTTACAATTTTATTAGGAATGATGTTTTATAGTCAACAATTGTTTTGAAATACTTGTGTACAGATTCTATGACAGCAGATATAATGTCAAGAGGCTTAAATGAATCTAAGTTGAAAATGTAAGCAGATGTAGAAGCTTGATTCTGTAATTTATACTGTGTGAAGAAAGCAAACTCTGAATTAAGGGGTAGTGTTAGTGTAGGTATCAGGTAAAAGGATAACACAGTATAGCTATGTAATCCAGATTTCATTTTCGTGTGTTTTCAGTGATGGCAACTGACATGTATCTTGTGTAAATAAAAGCAGCTTCCCCAACTCTACCACATCGCCCAAGTCCTTGTGTATCCAAATCCTCATCGCAAACATTGATATCCTAACTGTAATAGTTTCAGCCTTGAACGTATTTACCCCACCATCCCTAAATGACATATTGTTTCAAGACTACTTTATATCGGCTAATACGCTTAATTTTAATAAAGGTGTAACGTTTTCTTATATAAATTTACCAGACATTTCGACCAGAAAATACCTGTTGGAGGTGATATTCGTTATATATTTCGAAAAAGACTTGACAGCTCTGATTCCAAGTGTCATCATCTTTCGCACATCAGTAGTTTCCACTGGACCATATTCGCTTGTTTGTTTTCCGCCATCTGTCTCCAAATGTCTATACCGTACTGATGATTTCTAAAAAGCATGAAACAACATTGCATACGGATATAGTCGTAGAGACGCAAAGCAAATATATCCTGCTCAATCTGTTTATGCAACTCTTGCATCGTACGTCAATGCTGATAGCGTGGTAAGTATTTAGTACTACCCTGAGTGACTACGAAACAACTATGTGGTGGACGTCCTTGTCCGACTTCTTATCAGCGGATCCTTTTCTTCGAGGTGCCGGGAAATTGTGGTTTTCTTGTTTGCTTTCCGTCATCTGGTTGCTAAAAGGCATAAAACAACGTTACGTACGGTTGTTTATCGTCGCAGAGATAGAAAGCAAACATATCCTAGTCAGTCTGGATCATGTTGGTCATATAACATTTGACGCGTCCTGTCATATGACGGTCACTCAGAGCGTTATGAAAAATGGTTTTAATATGACGATGTGTTGGTGTACGTGTACCTGCATTTCTATAAGGTACACCACTGGATTTTCTGTTTACGTATGCGATATAAATTCATTCCCATCTTAATTAATCCTATAGAAACACCATGAAGCGTACGTATTCACACAAAAGGGAAATAAAATGACAACGTTCAATCGTGGGCGGATACACAACGACGCAGTCGTTCATTTCTGATATTCAGCGAACGTTTACATATCAAAAACAATAAAATGAAGAGGCACAGCTCTTGTCTCCTTTAATTTAAATCTGAATTCCGCACACGCATTCGTGGGTATAATGAATGACCCCAGATATGCAAGAGAAGACGTCACTGGGGAAGAACCCTTGTTGGGAAATTATTCATCCATACAGGATGGATCAAGTTCCTTTGGAGCAAGGACGCCATCGCGCTGCCTGAGCTGACATACATCACACGTGTGTAGTGTACACTCATCTAGTCATTTATAAGTGTGTATCATCTGATGGCTTCCACCTTGTTTGTAAAGCCGCGTACAGACCGAAAATCCACGCCGAGCAAACGAGTGCCAGCACATGTGACGTTGGCGTTTGTTGTTGGAAGGTATTGGAATGCGCTCGTCTACACCTAAATTTAGTTTCGAGTTGGACCGCGTCGGGTTGAGTTCGATGCTAATGTCGAGCGTCTAGTCTCCTCTTATCGAATGCAGACAAACGACTAAATACTAGAACCGCAACAAATCCTGTCCAAACCTCCCTTTGATGTACCCATCAACGAGCGTACGCAATCAAACGCCAGCGCCAGCTTTGGAAACCGTTGGCTTATGTTGGATCGCGCCGTACACACCCATTCGAACACCTCCAAATCTGTAACCACATGTGCCTTGGCTTGCGTTAGAATCTCGGTCGATATGCGAGTTAATAGAGCATGCTGAGGACCAAAAAAAGTTTATCGAATAGATTGAATCAGCCTACTCGAATTCTAAGGTACACAAAATTACTGATAGTCATTGAGGCAAGTGAAATATGAAATATCTGATATCAAACTATATAACCCACTGCACTGCCTTGAAGTGATCATGATGTTGAAAAAGTGAATTAATGAAGAGGGCTTTCACATAACATTGACCATTTTGAAAGATCCTTTGATTAAACTCAAAATCACCAGCAAGTCAAAAATACATCCAAAAACAAAGCTTATATACAAAACAATGCCAAAGAAGACTGGTTGACTTGGGCAACATTAAATATTTCGTTGCTATGTTCTGTAGAATTACCAGAAAAGAAAATTCATATTTTGGGAAAGTCGTTAGATGAGCGCGAGGATAGCCTCAATAGTCCGGGCAGTCTTATCGGGATAAATAATAAGAACTAGTGAACCAACGTATAATTTCCACAGACTATTAGTGAAAATAGGAGTAACCTGTATGCTACGTGCCTACACCTGCTCCAATGTTTTTGTTTGATAACGTTGAGATGAGGAAAGCAAATAACATATGGTGCCTTTCACGCCCTTTCAGACCGGATACGGAAGCTGACGAAGTCACTATTGAATCAGCAGTAGAGATAGTGATATAGATATAAATATTCTTGAACACAGAAACAATTAACAATTAACAATTTTTTGGATTTCTAGAGGTAAGATGAAAGGATGTCAAAACTATGTATAGATTTAATAACAACTATTTTAAATTCTTGGGATTCGTCAGCTTAAAACATTTATTAAAAATTCAGTTTCGGCGATTTTAAGTGCCATCTTCAGGTACATGTGAGTTTCTAGAATAGCTTGCATGATACCTACTGGCAGAAATGTAATAATTTTTACCAACTATTCAAGAAACTCACATTTTCAAAAGATAACATTTAAGATCGCCGAATCGTCGCATTTTTAATAAGTATAACAGAATCCGAAGAAGTTATAACTTGAATTTATTTAAACAATCAGGAATATAAAAATTCATTATAAGCTTCAATAATGGGAAGAGTACAACAATCGCAATTCGTTGAAAATAAAAAATGATTTCTAACCCTACTATTCGCGAATGTAAAATTGATGACCCGTATTCTCATCATTCAGTAGCACTTCTCACACTTTTTACCAAATAACTTGTCCATTTACAAATTCCTCCGGAACTTGATTGGATTTTTTCCAGAACGCCTGAATTAAATATACTAGGTACTACTGCTGCCATTGCAAAGACTAGCGCTATTCTGCTCCTTGCTTCTATACACATACAACATAATTTGAATATTCCAGCAGTTTGTCTTATTAAAATGCTTGATAACGTCTTGTACAAGCATATCGTGTACCAGCAGGAGATCGATAAAATTCATTTGATATAATTGCCCTCCCTGTATAGATTGCCGAAGGTCACTAGCACCTGCGGAGTTTGCTGATGGGATACACCAGATTATGTTGTTCTTGTCACGAGTACAACTCATTACTCATAGCTAATTAGTCAATTATAATTAGTGAACATCCGCAGATAAACAAATTTATGTTGATTCCTAGGGACGTCGTCTGTATTCAAAACGTCACAGATGGTGTGATAGTAAAAACTGGTTCTCCATGTAGGATGGTACAAAAATGGTAGCTTTCCCTGTAGGTGATTACAAAAAGGTACATGACTATACAAATAACTGTTCTGGTTCTGGTCTATGTCCAGTCGATATTGTATGACATGACCTCCTGGGCAGCATCGAAGGTTGTGTCTCAGCTGGTGTCCTTTTACTGTCGTTTTTCGGGAACTATTCCAAACATTGGATATGCCAATTTTTAGGGTTATTTAAAGTTTTAGTTGTTTATTGTGATAAATAAGCCTTGTACGGTGCGGAAGAAATACCCACCAGCATTTTCCGCTAGCATCGTCTTCTCTGCTGGTAGTCGTTGGGACAATCGAATTGGGAGAGATGCTCGTTTCTAACGATGATTTATAGCTTCGCCGGTCTTCATGATCATTTGTAGATTATTTTGAGTGATTGTGAGCCGCCGTCATCAAAATAATACACCTAGAGCAGTCGCGTGATTCACAGGTCAGTAACTCTCCTGCAGCATTTGGAGTACTTGGGTTACTAATAATGTAAGTTTTGAAATTCATACCGTTGTTTTCATGTTCACAGGACTCGATTGTCTTTCCGAATCAAGCTCCATATATGTTTTGATTTCCATTTATTGTACGACGTTTCGGCCAGAATAGTGACCTTTTTCAATAAAAATAATATTTTTTTTAATAACAGCCTATTTTTGTATGCCTGTCTTACACACAGGCACATTTATTTTTTCTCATATTCATTACTATACAGTGTGTTGCGACAATAGATTGTACTGTCCTACAGTATGCCGAAATCGCGAGAAGCCATCATAACAATTTTAAGTGACTTTTCTCTTAAGTGGATCGCTTTCGATTTATAAACGTTTTATGTTTCTGAAAAACGGTAAATTTTGGTGCTCGTAAACTTGGTTAAAATCACAATCTTTGAAGTTGTCACATGTCAAAATTGAAGCAAACTTCACCCAACACAACCTTGAAAGGTATTTTAGGGTCATTTAATTTTAAATCAGTTTTGATTGGTAAGCTAACAAGCGGAAAAGTTTTGATATTCGCAGATTGTACTACAAGTAAAAACAAAAACAAAAAATTCATATCTGTCCAAACTCCGTTTTTTAAGAGGACTCGTAGTCAAAAAAATTGTAACAGTCAAGATTTATCTTCGCTGATTTCTAATTGACTTTATGGCCGAATTTTTAAGGGGATCAACGATTGTGACTGCAAAGATTTTCGAATTTCAGATAGATTTTTGGTGTTTTGCGGTGTGAATCTGTATCACCCATTTCCGTTGGTCTATCTGTCTTTTGACGTTTTTCTACCTTCGTACTCTCAGAAAGTTTGACAATAATATGCTTTTATGATACGTAATGCTACTTCATTTTTGTTTTTTTAATAATCGGCACCGTGGTAACAGAGTTATGAATAGAAAGCAAAAGAGTTTCAAATCGTCGCCAAACTCACTCCATTATTACGTTATGATATATTTTCGGCAAAATAGAATAGTAGACGGCAAGATTTTTTTGAAAGACGTTAATTTTCACTCTTGTTCAGCTTTCTGGTCGTTTTTGCGCTTAGTCAAAGAATCACTAGTGAGGATCAGAGAGTTGGAAAGTAGGTAAGTCCGAATTTGCTTCTGCTAAGCCGCCTGTATATAATTACAATCAATAATCGACTGCCACACTAGTCCTACTCCTACCTCAAGCAGTAGAACCATGTATGAACGTTTCATATGCATATTATTGCACATTTAATTTAATATGAACTGGGGATCTGGGTATAAGAACAATTTTATCATTTAACTGCTGAAAAACCAAACCAGACAATTCAGATAATAAAATCCTTGAATCAAACCAAACAAAAGTTAATGCTGCATACCTGTTTGTGTACGTTTCATCCAACAGAGACAAAGGGTAAAAATGCCAATGTAAAAAGCTTCAATGGATGGAACGTGTCAGGAGTAACAAAAAATGTTTGAGATATGTGCTTTCCATCAGCCAAATTAGCGTTGGAATGCCGTAACGTTTTTAATAAAACCCCGAACAACAGATACATGTAGGTACATGAAGGATTGACATGCAGGCCCAGATTACATTATTTTAATGGCTCTAAGAGTACGTGTATTGTGGTATGACATTAGCATCTTAGGTAAGATCAATTATCTTACCTATGAGAAACGAACGTTTTGTTACAAAACCGCGTCACTCGTATTTTGTACCTTTTTTGACTGTTGCTAAAAACCTTTTAATATGAAAAATTAAGAAAAATCTATTTTTGAATTTCGGCACTGGTTGCGGAAATAAAACTTGAAAATCTCACCACTCTTTCGTAGCATCCCCTTAGGCACAACATATCTGCTAAGCTGATCTGTGCTGTTGATGAAGTACCACTCCACCATATGGATGTTATAGTAAGTCTAATCGTAACTGGGACATCGAAAAGGGCCGAAACCGCCAAGAAAAGTGGTATAGGTACATCCAGTGTCCAAGCGTAGTAAGGCATCGTCGCGATAGTTAGTCCACTTATGCAAAACCATGACTGCTCTTATGATCTGCTCTACCACTTATGTAAATAAGGCTTTTCTCGACGCGCTGATTTTTTCACTATTTCAATTAGGACAAGGTTAACTGTACCAGAATTGGTGACTGTAAAAAAAATAACAGAACTTACCGGTACGTGGCGAAACACACCACCAATTCCCACGATCATCATTATATGGAACGATGCGATACACGAAAAAAGAAAAAAAACAACATTCGTAAATCACATAAAGTTACAGTTAAATGTATTAGTAATCAGAACAACAGGCGATGATACATGCAGTGTAGGAGGGGTACGACGTTGCCAGTTGTGTGAGAGATTTTGTTTGTCTTTTTTTCTTGGGAAATTGTATTTAATAAGTAAGAAAATTATTTTGTTAGAGACAGTTGATTAATAAATAGATATATTGATACATTTTACGCTATTAGGCATATTAATTCAAATTATTAAGGTGCAGAATTAATTTATTTCATGACTAAAAAGAAATAAGTTCAGCATTTTTTTGCTACAAAACGGTTGATTTTTGTACATAGGTTATGATGAAATCATCAGTACGGTATAGACATTTGGAGACAGATGGCGGAAAACAAACAAGCGAATATGGTCCAGTGGAAACTACTGATGTGCGAAAGATGATGACACTTGGAATCAGAGCTGTCAAGTCTTTTTCGAAATATATAACGAATATCACCTCCAACAGGTATTTTCTGGTCGAAATGTCTGGTAAATTTATATAAGAAAACGTTACACCTTTATTAAAATTAAGCGTATTAGCCGATATAAAGTAGTCTTGAAACAATATGTCATTTAGGGATGGTGGGGTAAATACGTTCAAGGCTGAAACTATTACAGTTAGGATATCAATGTTTGCGATGAGGATAGTAGAATATGGGCTACTTTGGACACCCCCCACCACTTCCACTTAGGCCACGCCCACCGCATGCTCTGATTGGCGGATTAGACGGCGGGAAATTTGAACGGGGTTGATGGTATATGTTGATTGGCGGGAACCGCTAGATTCACCGCGTGCTCTGATTGGCGGATCAGACGGCGGGAAATTTGAACGGGTTGATGGTATATGTTGATTGGCGGGCCCCGCTAGATGCCGCACCCGACCGGAAGTGATTCAGACAGCCGACGATAGTAAGGTGTAGTATAACGTCTATGCGTAAGTGATGTGACTCATTTCATGTTTTGCGGTAAATATTTGCATATAGATCGATAAAAGCCGATGAATAACGGTAATTATAGATGCAATTCTGCGGATTCAGTTCAAATGGAAAAACGTATAAAATTCGCGGAGAACAATGCGTATAGGATGATCTCAATAGTCAACACGTCATATTCAGTGTGCATATAAAAATGGAATTGCTCATATGTGGTGCATACAGTTAGTTAATTTTTAACATTGATACAATATTGAAAACATAGTACAGTCTATATTGTGTATCTAATAGATTCCAACAAGGCAATCACCTACGTCGCAAATGAGGTTAGGTTCAGCGCCGGTGTAGTCGTAGCGGTGATATGCAAGAAGTACCGGGCGGGGCTGTCAAGCATGGGTGAATGGGCAGGGAGCGCAGGCTGTCAACGAGTTAATACCGGCCAGCGGTGACCTTGAAACACTGTGGTCAGTTAAAAAGTGGTGGGGGTAAAATTGAGATTATAAATACCTATGAATCACCGCAAATTATCTTGTCAGTTATCTACAGCGAACAGACGTGCTCAGTTCAGATTTAGTCGCTAGTTAACGTTTTAGTTTTTAAAAAAATGGAAAAATTCTTCGTCGTTAAGGATTCTATTAAGAAGATTAAAAAATTTAATCTATATGGGCGAGAAGTGGAATTTAAAATACGACCTATCCCTAAAGACGTCGAGCCTGTGGGATGGATCAAAGACGCTCTGGAGGAAATAGTAGCCAAAGGAACTGAACATCTCCAGCCCAGTGATCAAGTTGGATTCACTTTCTGTTCCAAAGACTTTACCCGCGGTCAAGGGTGGATAGCTTTTAAATCGTTTTCCGACGTTTCAAATGAGGACATATGGGAGAAGATATCTTCCATCTATCAGTCAAATTCTGTGGGGTTGAATACCGAAACTTTTTGCTTGGGAGTTACGTCCATAAGGTTGCCTGCTGGTCGTGGTAGAGGTCAGAATTTCAATACTTTTGATGAGGAATGCGCCAAAAGAAGAGGTATTATCACCGTTAAAAACACCGATAATTTGTGTCTCCCACGAGCCCTTGTCATCGCCATGGCCCATTTGAACAAAGACAAAGATTATAGCAGAATCCGCCTCGATCGAGGAAAAATACAAGGACAAAGAGCTGTACAACTTGTGGAAAAGGCTGATATTGTTATCCCTGAGGAGGGGTGTGGAATACCTGAACTTCAAAAGCTACAACGATATCTGCAAAACTACAAAATTGTTGTATACAAGTTTGGGTGCAAAGGTCGTGACGTCATTTTTGAAGGCGTGTCCACTGGTCCGACGCTTAACCTAATCTATCACGAGGGGCACTACAGCGTCATAACATCCCTCACTGCTGCTTTTTGCTGCAGCTATTTTTGTGAGAACTGCCACATTCCGTATAATAATAAACAAATTCATAGATGTGATAAACAATGTTATGCTTGTAAAAGATCTCCGGCCTGCCTGAAAACGAAGCACATCGAATGCAAAGAATGTAATAGAAGCTTTTATGGACAAGAATGTTTTAACGCTCATTTACCATCGGTCTGTTCTAAAATTAAAAGATGTGTAGACTGTTTTAAAGTTCACAACGGTAATGATCACATCTGCGGACATATACTTTGTAAAACATGTTATAAAAATCAACCAATTGAACATATGTGCTATATACAGCCTGACAGAAGAATTCCAAAATCAAATGATGTCTTATTAATATTTTACGATTTGGAAACCCGTCAGGAGAAGGAATTACCCAACGGATCTTTACTTCATGAGCCAAATCTATGTGTATTCAAACAATGTTGTGAATCATGTACCGATAATCCTATATGCAAGAAATGTGGCCTTCGATTACAGATTCTTCGATGTCAAGACGTCATTTCTCCATTTATGCATCATATTCTGACACTTCGTAAAAAATTCAAGAAAGTCATTGTACTGGCGCATAATGGTGGAGGATTTGATCATCAGTTTCTACTTCGTTACATTTTAGAGAAGACTAGTCTGTACCCAAATGTAATTATGAGAGGAACAAAATTAATATTGATGGAGGTAGGAAATGTAAAATTTCTGGATTCTCTCAATTATTTTCCTATGCCTCTAACTGCTCTACCCAAGGCGTTTGATTTGAAAGAGCTAAAGAAAGGATACTTTCCACATCTATTCAACACTTTGGCTCATCAGAATTATCTAGGGCCAATTCCAGCGCTCGACTTCTACGATCCCGACCATTTAAAAGAAGACACTCGGGAAAAATTATTAAAATGGCATGGCGAAAGAGAAGCGGAGGGATACGTTTTTGATTTTCAGAAAGAAATCGTTGAATACTGTATCTCCGATGTGGAAATATTGACACAGGCGTGTCTCAAATTTCGAGACCTGATGAAAACCGAAACCACAGTCGATCCCTTCCAGGAAAGCACCACTATTGCATCATGCTGTAACAAAGTCTTTAGACGCAATTTTTTAAAACCTGAGACGATCGGGGTAATTCCAAAAGGGGGCTATAGATGGCGTGAAAATCAGTCAAAAATTGCCATCCAATGGATGTTGTGGGAGGAACATCAAAGAGGAATCAAAATTCAACACGCCGCTAAGGGTATAGAAACCATTGTTAAGGGACATAAAGTAGACGGTTTTTGTAGCGACACAAATCAAGTGTTTGAATTCCAAGGATGCTATTTTCACGGTTGCCCTCGATGTTTCAAATACAACAGAAGCAATCCTCTGCATAATGATCCGTTGAATACATTGGAAAGTCGATACGAACAATCAGTTAGCAAAGTAGAGAGACTCCGAAGCCTTGGACTAGAAGTAATTGAGATATGGGAATGTCAATTTCGAGGAATGCTAAACGATGAAATTAGAGCCTTCACAGAAGCACATCCATTGATAATCAATTTACCGATTAACCCCAGAGACGCTCTCTACGGGGGACGTACAGAAAATATCGTTGAATACTACAAGATCAAAACAAATGAATGCATAAAATATGTCGATATATGTTCCCTGTACCCCTTCATCTGTAAATATGGAAAATTTCCGGTGGGTCATCCAAAAAAAATTTACGTAGGTGAAGAATGTGTTACAGCCTCTCTGTCGCAGATGTCAGGACTTATTAAATGCCAGATTCTACCGAACCAGAACTTATATCACCCCGTTTTACCGTCAAAAATGAACAACAAATTGATGTTTGTTAACTGTCAAAAATGTGGTGAAGATTTCGTTCGAGAAGAGTGTCAGCATTCTATTCAAGAAAGAAGCCTAAAAGGAACTTGGGTGATAGAAGAGGTGCTCAAAGCTATTGAAAAAGGTTACCAGATTATAGAGACTTACGAAATATGGGAATACGATACAATTCAGCTCAGTAAAGACCAAGAGGGGTTATTTAGCGGAATGATGAACAAGTTTCTACAAATAAAACAACAAGCTTCAGGATGGCCCAAACATTGCTTAACGGATGAAGAAAAAAACCGTTATATTGATGCATTTTTGGATACAGAGGACAT